ATACTGGGCCAGGGGCAGGGTGGATGGTTGGGGCCACCCCAGCCAGGACACCTACTGGACATCCCTTCGTATGGTCTTGATGAATATGAGGAAGAAGTCCCATCCGCCGGATCCCAGGTAGAAGATGAAGAGAGCAGGGATGGCCTGGACCCAGGACAGCTCCAGGCTGACCCTGAAGAACAGCAGCAGCGCTGCGAAGGCAGCCAGGCGCAGCATCGTGGCCTGTGGGGAGAGAAACCACGGCCATCAACCCGCACGCCCTGGACGTGGTGATAACAAACCCATGGGCGGGGGATTCGTTCGCAGCCCCCAATTTCCTGGATGAGGTCCCTGAGTCATGGCTCCTCCTGGCAGTGAGGACACAACCCGGCAGCACAGAGCTCCCACAGAGGTTCACGGGGCCCTGGGGACAGCCTGCAGTGAAGCTGCCAGCATGGCACTGCTTGGTGCCAGCTGAGAGCCCAGCCATTCCCACCTGGAGAGCCACATCCTGCACACCAGCAGCCAGGGGCACGGCTGCGCCCCAGCAGCGTGAGCTGCAGGATGAAGTCACTTCATGGATGCGGGAGCAGAGCCATGGCAGGAGACCTTGTACAGATGTTTGGAAGGCAGCAGGGTGATGCCAGGCAGGGTTGGCTCAGCCCATCGCTCCCAGCCTGGCTCCAAATTCTTCCCTATCCCAAGGATCCCTCTTGTGCCCATATAACCCAGGTCTCCCCAGAACCAGCTCTCCTGAATGGGTGGTGGGAGAGCACAGCTTTGCATGCTCCCCAGCACAGGAACAGGGACAGGAAACTTGGTCCTTTGAGCTCTGCTTGTGTTTGCAAACCCTTGTGTCAGTGAGCAGCTCCGCTGGAGACGCTGCCAGAGCAGGCTGGGGACAAAGCCAGGCACAGACATGCTCTGACCAGGGCAGAACAAGGGCTGTCACTGCTGCCAGGAGCATCCCAGACCCCCACCTCTTGCCCTGTGTGTAACAACTCAAGTCTCTGACACACAGCCCCCCAAACCGGTACCTCTGTCCCCACCCCAAACACCCCCAGATGCGGCTCTGACACTCGCAGGAGACCACGACCTAGCAAAAGGTCTGTTCAGGTGCCAGCATCGGGCAGGGACAAGTGGCAGCGATGTGACCGTCACAGCTCGAGGGCTCCTCGATAAAACGGGTCCCTGCTGGCATGGACGCCAGCCGAAGAGGAAGGAAACACTCAACGTCATTTCCCTTTCCCTCTGAAGGTGGATTCACTGCTCTGAAGCCGTCAGCCCCCGCTGGCCTCAGCCATAGGCCGTGGTGCCCCGAGCCATGCTTGTGGCTTCCCCCCTGCCCCGTGCAGCTCCCCCCCGGGTCCAGGGGAGCCCCTGTGGCTTTGGCAGATGTTGGTGGGTGGGAGCCGAGGCAGCGCCACGTGGTCACCGTGCCCTGGCATGTCACGCGCGTGGCTCAGCACCAGCACCACAGCACCCAATGCTGCTGCCACGTGGGGCCACCCATAGCCCCTGCCCACGGGTCCCCCAGCACCTCCCAGGCCTGACGTCCCACAGCATCGCAGGACCCAGGGGCCATTCCCCGCGGTGAAACGGAGCATCTCTCAGATCCCATTAAGTGCTCCACCTCAGCCCTTCGTTACACGCTCCCATCAAGCAGCCGGCCATGGAGAGCCAGCAGCGGGGGAGCCACGCTCCGTGTGGGCAGCAAGGTGCTTTTAATCTCCCACTGGAAGGCCAGACGGGCCCAGACAGGCCCTCGTTATCCTGCTCTCACATCTGTGCCTCACACCGGCGTGCCCGGTGCCTCCCGCCAGGAGATAACCGGCGCGATACCGAGAGATCGGCGGCGAGACGTTACCGACGGCAGATTCCCGCGGGTAACCGGTGTTACCGCAGGGCCCTGCCCCGCCGTTAGGGATTCAGCGCTTGTCTGCCTGCATCAGCACAGGCACGATTAAAGACCTGCCCGTGGCTCCAGCGGGCACAACGCAAACCGCAGGGATCCATCGCCCGCGGGCACCGTGAGGAGCCTCCGGGGAGCCAAAGGCGGGCACAAGACCCAAGAAGCCTCCGGGGGCATCTCCCCAGCCCCAGCAGATGGGCGGCAACCGTGCCCTGGCTTGTCCCTGGGCACGGTGATGGGGATGAGCCCCCCGCCCGCGGGGAAAGACAAACGGGAGGGACGCGGTCCTGCCTCACCCCCCCCACCCCATCCGATGGGGGCTGCAGAACCGGGAGACCCATGCGGGCCCCACACCGGGTCCCTGCTCCCCCAGCCCCGGCCAGGCCCCGGAAGAGCCCGGAGGAAGGGGGGGGGGTGGGGGAGCCCCGCATCCCGCTGCGGACAAGGGCCGCGGCGCTGTACGGGGAGATCGGGGCTCGGAAAGGCTCCGGTACCGCCCGCAGGGCCGCGGCGCCTCACGGGGACACCGTGGGCCCCGGCGGCCCCACCCGAGCGCCCGCGGGGAGGCAGCGAGGCCACCGCGTGGGAGCGGAGCGGAGCCGGGAGGTGTCGGAGAGGAGGAAGGGGTAAGCCCGGTGCCGCGCTCTTACCGGGCTCCGGGCGGTCCGCTGCGGCCCGGCAACCTGCACCGGGAGCGGGGCCCGCCCGCCGCTGCGGCACGGCACGGGGCGGGGCGCGCAGCGAGGCCCGCCGGGAGTTGTAGTCCCGCCCGGTGCTGCCGGTGCGGCCCCGCCGCGGAGGGTGCGGGCCCGGGCGGCGGCGGGGCGGGGCGGGGCGGTGCGGCAGGAGGAGGCGGCGAGGGCAGCGCGCACACGGACGGCTCTGTGGCGCAATGGATAGCGCATTGGACTTCTAGCGTGTGTGTGTGAGGGGAGTCATTCAAAGGTTGTGGGTTCGAGTCCCACCAGAGTCGCGTTTTGCCGCCGGGCCGTGGGGATCGCTCTTGGGGTTCCGCGACTGCAGCAGGCCGGGGTTGGGGCGGGGGGGAACGGAACCGCCGGGCGCTGCCGCCGCGAGGAGCCCGGTGGTGGGCCCGGTAATGGTGACGGGGAGAGGAGCTCCGGGCACGGCTCTCCCGGTTATCCGTAAATGCGCATGGATCGCGGTGGGTCCGTGTGTTGAGCAGCATCATCGCCACCGCTCCCGGTTATTATTGTTATCGCAGCCCCAAAACGGGTCCAGCAGCGCCGGCACCGACCACTGCTGATGGCGGCGATGGAGCTGCCGCATGTCCACGGCGAATACATCCCTCCCCAAAGCAGCGTTTACACATGGCTTGCGTCCAACCTGCCAAAACCCCCGTCCTCCCCCCTTTGCCTTCCTTCGGCAGGCTCGACAAGCGACGGCTGCGGCAAACGGGAGCGGTGAAGCGCTGGGGCTGAGCAGACGCAGTCACATTTACATGCTGTGCCATTGCTGACGCGCTGGCACCCGTCACCAGCCCACCCGCGGCTGCGCGAGGGCTGCACGAACCCCGAGTGCAGCAAAACCCTCTCTCAGCCATCGTTTCCTCTGCTGCCTTTGCTGCTCTCAGCCCTTGGAAGCAGCGAAGCTTTGCTGCCCTTCGGTTTAATCACCCCAAAGCTCTGACACGTGTCTGCTGCAGAACAGCACGTTTCCGGGTTGGTTTAGGGCTAAACGGCTCTTTCATCTCGACCAGTGCAGTTGGACAAGCACCGCGCTGTGTTTTACCAGCAGCTGAAGGATGTGTTTATACGAGATCCTTTATGATCTGCTTGAAACAACTCCAGAGGCCAAGAAAGGCACGAGCCTGGTTTTGGAGGCAAACACAAAGTCTGGCTGGTGGGGACAGGGATGGAAGAAGGTGAAAACAGGCAGCTGGGGGTGCAGGAAGCAAGCAAGCCCCTGTATGCCAGTGCCTGCACTTAAACCCAAGAGTCTTGCCTCTGCTCAGCCTCCTGGGAGGGAGCAAACCCCTGGCTGCAGTCAGCCCCTGCTCCTGCCCCAGCTGGAAAGATGCATCCCCACAGCCCATCCTGTGTCCCATCCCCATGGGTGCAGCCATGCACCCAAGCCGTCACCCACCACCGCAGACAACAGCAGACTCTGCTGGAGCCAGAAAGGGGTGAGGTTCCACATCAGATCTCCCCCGAGAAAGGGAGACGGGGTGGAAGGAGACGAGTACGGAACCACAAGCTCCACACTGGCTTTTATTAAGCAAGACGGAGTTTCGACAGCAAACCCACACGTACAAAGAGCCCTTGGCTGTGTGGCTCTGTGTTCTCGCATCCCACAGCTCTGCGCTCTGCTGCTGGAGCCCTCTTTAATTAACCCAGACAGCAATCAGCTCCCTGACGCTGCACAAGCAGCCGCCGTTTCTGCACTCTCAGGATTCAGCTCCTTATTTCCAATCACATCGTTTTGTTGGCCAAGGAAGGGCCGATTCCTACTGAAAACACAGCACAAGCACGTGGATTTCAGCCTTTCTGATGGCGGGGGGGACGGGGACACATGGGACATGGCAGTCAGGATCAGCTCTTGAACAGCCAATCCAGCAGGGATAATATCCAAAGGTATTTCCGTGCCCGTTCCTGTGGGCATGCAATCACACACTGCCCGATCTCCAAGGCATGAGCCACATCAGGATACCAGTTAGGCACCAGCAGAAGATGGGATGTCCACATTGCACACACCAAACCTGCCCCTGGGCTGCTCTGTAAATCACTGCTTTAGCTCCGGCCCAGGGCAGCCCCAAGACTTTAAGCCTGGATCTTCCCAGGGAAAGTGGAAGAAGGGATTTACCTACAGAGCCCTGGAGCTGCAGAAGGACAAGGCATTGCTGCAGTGTGCTGTAAACCAGCTCTGCTCCATCCCCATGCCAATGTTCTGGAGCATCAGTACCTGAGCACTGCTGCCATGGGAACCAACCCAGCCTTGCCACGCATCCCTCCACTGAGTCACCAACAGCAAAAAGAGGCAAGTTTTGTCACCTGGCCTCTTGGCAAGGGAAACCTCAGCCCTTGGGTCGCTGTGTCTGGAATCAGAGCCATGCTGTGCTCCTGGGCAGGAGGAGATGGAGCACACAGGGACTGTGCTGTCTGCCAACGGGGATGCCCCGTCCCCTCCCCGTACTTGAGCTCTCACACGCGAACGGCCGGGGGAGGGAAGATGCCGATCTCCTCCCGCAGGGATTCCACAGGCTGCTCCCAGCGCTGCTCGTAGTACACGTTCAGGATGCAGCTGGCGTTGCGCCCGCTCCGGATCGCCCAGGGAACGAGCTCGGTGGCCAGGACCTGCAGCTTCCTGCAGCAAACGATACAGGAGGTGACGGCTCCGATTTCCATGTTTTGTGGTGGATTCCCTCCTCCAATTCCCCAGTGCAGGCAGGTGCCAAACCCATGTGTCCCATGTACCCTCCTGCTTAACTCCCAGGGGAAACTAAGGCACTGGGAAGGACACTGTGCCAGGGAGGTTATGGTCAGCAGCAACCCCAAGAGCAGAACTCAGGTTCTGCAATGCCCAAACTGTGCTGGGCCACGAGGTAGGGAATGGCCATCAGTGTGGTGAGGGTCCTGCTGGCCCTGAATACCTGCCCAGCCAAGGGCAGCCAGGCCTGGGCATTGCACCTCCCAGCACAAGAGACTCAGTGCTGGAAGCAGACGAAGCACCAGGCTCTGCCAAAGCAGAGGTTCACAAGAGAACCCCTGACGGACCCCCCCTGCAGCCTCAGCACCGTCCCCTCTGCGTCCCCAGAGGACACCAGGAAGCATCACCCAGGCTGGCACATCCCCACCGGTGAGTGCCTACCGTGCGCTGAGGCGGATGGGGCCGAACGCCGCTCCCAGGACACACATGGGCAGCCCCGTCTGGATGGCTTCGAACCACTTCACCACCACCTCGCCTGGCAGGGAGCAGAGAGGCTGTGAGCGGGCAGGACACCAGGGGCAAGGGCCAGCCAGGGCCATGGGGTGCTGCAGCACGGGCTGCATCATCCGCCCCTTCCCAAGGGGGGCCATGCACCTGTACCCTCTGTCTCCATGGCAGGACTTGGGAATGCTTCCCAAGTCTGCCCATGGCTTCACCCTGTGCCAGGATGAGCGCTGCTGTGCATCACCCACCGAAGAGGGATGCTCAGAGTCCCCACGGGAGCAGCACCCCGCAGCCATAGAATCACAGAATCGACCAGGATGGAAATGACCTTTAAGATCAAGTCCAACCTTTACCCCAGCACTGCCAAGGCCACCATTAACTCATGGCACCGAGGGCCTCATCGATGTCTCATGAGCTTGGGAAACACCTCTGGGTTCCCTGCAGATCTTTAGCAATGCAGTTACTGCATCCTGATCCCACACACAGCTCTCCCTGTCCCCTGGGACAGGACAGACCTTTCCAAACGCTGCCAGGGCTCGGGCACAGCCTGCGTAGGAGCCAGCTCTCACAGGCACCAGCAAGGCTTGACTTGCAACTTGCTGTTGAGTCAGAGACAAAACGAGGGCAAAGGACACGGTGCTGTGCAGATCAGGAACAACCCGGAACCCCCAGCTTCTGCCTTCACCCGCAGCTTGCGAAACGTGGTCCCCCCGCCCTGTGTCACCCGCCCTGCCAGGCAGCAAACACCCATCAACAGCACCTCGGGCTCGGGCTGAGCATCTCCCAGCAGGGAAAAGGTGACTTCCCATGGCCTCTTGGTCACCACGGAGCCAGTGGGGCACCGCGCTGTGGGTCCAAACCTCCTCCCACACCAAATGGGGCTGAGGTTGAGGAGCCCGACCAGCCCAACCTGCCCCACTCCCAGCACCACCGGTGGGGTTTGGCCCTGCGAGCCCCTTGCTGCTCACCCAGCATGTTGGTCGGCATGCCCAGGAGGGTGTGCATCATGTCATGGACCTCTCGGTACCGCTGGATCACGTACGCCAGTTCTTCATCATCCACAAACTTGGGTGGCATCCGGGTGTCCGGAGAAACCTTCTGCAAATCCAAAGAGGTCCAATCCAGCCCCTTCCAAACCTCAAGTCTGGCTTGGTTTTGGCTGAGGTGGAGTTAATTTTCTAGCAGCAGGTACAGTGCTGTGGATCGGATTGAGGATGACAAGAACCCCGCTAACACACTGATGGTTTAGTTGTTGCTATGTAGTGTTTATACTAAGTCAAGGACTTTTCAGGTTCTCTTGCTGCCCTGACAATGAGGAGGCTGAGGAGGCACAAAGGACACAGCTGGGACAGCTGATCCAAGGGATATTCCACACGATATGGTGTCATGGTTGGAACATAAACTGGGTACTGAGCAGGCTGGGCATCGGTTGCTGGTGAGCAATTGTTTTTCATTTGCATCACTTGTTGGGTTTTATCTCTCTTGTTATCATCATCATTATCAGTGGTTCCCTCCATCAGCACAACTCCCAGTCCCCAATGATGGGAGGAAGCATCATTTACATAGACAAAACCCAAGGGCTGCTCCTTGGTGACAAATCCAGCATCATCCAACACCAGCATCCATCCCATCTCCCCAGTCCCTCACTCCTGGAGGGCTCCCCACAGGTTCCTCCATTGCTCCAACCTCCCTCTAAAGCAAATCTGTGCTCCCAGTGACCAAGTGCAGCCCTCGGCACCCCCCAAACCCCACACTCACGTTGTCCTCCAAGAAGCGGACGTACTCCCTGCCCAGCGACCCATCTGGCAGCCCCCGCAGCCGGGACATGTCCAGGGTGGAGAGACGGATGCGGGGCCGTTCCCTGGAAGCAAAACACAACTCAATGAATTCACATCCTGGTCCTGGAGAAAAGGAGCCCCTGGTAACCCCATTGCCTGCCTCTGCCCTTCCTCACATGGATCCTCGCTGCAGGGATGCTTAAAGGCTCTACCTGAAGCCTGGGCAATAAAACAGCTTTCACCTTGCACCCCTGCTGCAGCTCTGGTTGGGAAACACTGATGTCTGCATTGAAACCTTTGCTGCTGGCCAGGCACAGCCAGCCCTTTGGTGTCCCTGCAAAGCAGCCAGGGCTTCAAAGGAGCAACACAGGGCAAGGAGCAGGGGGGATTTCACTCCCCAGCCCTTGGTGCCTTTGCTGTCCCCTCTCCTCTGGGTCCCAGTCCCATCTATGTGCTCCAGGTGCTTTGCTGGGTCAGTGCCCGGAGTCAGGACCAGGCTGCTCTGCACAAACACAGGGCAAAAGCTATTCCCCAGCTCCTACATCCCAACGGGACATCCCAAACGCTACACAAGCAACAGGCTTGGTATGTAATGAGAAGCGGGGAGAGGCAAGCAAACAAGCAGTAGGATTTGGTTAATAAGAGGCTCATGAAGTCCCTCCTGGCCCTCAGCCCTGCTGCGCTCCACAAGTCCCTGTAGACATGGAAACAGAAGTGATCAAGGCTTAACAAGGAAGACGAGAAGTGGCCTCGTTTCACAGCCTGGGGAGATGCTGCAGGCACCAGGAAAGAAAGCAGGGAGGTGTCTGAGGAGGAGGGAGACCAGTGGAGATGAAGTCTCCGATGCGGAGATGCAGCAGCAGGCACAGGGGAGAAACCCATGGATGTGGTGGGGTTTTATCAGTGCTCAGCATCCACGGAATCCTCCCCTGCGCCTGCTGCTGCATCTCCTCGTGCTGGCACCTGCCAGTTCCAGCAGCGAAGCAGAACAGTGTGAAACAGGGCTGGGCCCAGCGGCTGCTGCTGCTCTCACCCTCAGATTGCCCCAGGGCCCTTGCGATGGAGTAAAACAAACAGCTTGAGGCTCAGAGCTGCCAGACTCCTGTGCTCCCCCTTCACAGGGCCCAAGGAACGCGCTGGGCCTCGTGTCTCCCTCCCCACCACAACCCACGGGGCCAGGGAGGGATGCGAGGGACGCACTGGAGGATGCGGTAACCTTCAGGGTGATGCCTCATCTTGTCGCGCAGGTTGGGCAGGGCCAGGCAGCCCGTGGTCTCCCCCAGCACTGCCACCATGTCTGAAAGAGAGAGCAGAGAGTGACCCAAGAGACGGTTCCACAACAGCCCCTTGCCCTCTGCTCGCGGGTGAGCAATGGGGCAATGAACGCCCTGGCCGGGAGCAGGCTGCGGCCAAGCAGGGACCCACAAACCGTGGATCTTCAGCCTCAGGGGGTGCTCTGCCACGGTGCCACCCGCATGGAGGGATGCAGGAGCAGGCGTGAGGCCTGGGGGGGGGGGGGGGCGAGGAGGAATGAAATGGGGCTGGGTGGCACTGTAGGGAGTCAGGAGATCACTGCGGGGTGTTCGGGGTCCCTCAGCCCCTCTCTTCCACAGCTCTGTGCTTGCTGCATCAGTGAACGTCTCACCCAACAGCAGCAGGCACACAGAAACACGCAGGAGACCGGGGCAAGCTTCGCCGGACGTTACCAAGGGCGCTGGGTGGAAGGAGCTCCCTGGCTGCGCTTACCGTGTCTGTAGGGGTCATACAGAGCCATAGCGGCCGAGCCGGCCGCCAGCAGCGCTTTCTGCAGCGGGCTGGTGGGGATGTGCCCGGGGTACAGCCGGTAGCACCCCCCATCCTCCTCCTCCTCCTCCTCCTCCCCGTGTCCTTGCCGTGCCCGCCGCTCGCTGTGGCTCAGACCGGCGCTGCCTGCGGGGAGCGGGGGTGAGGAACCGGCCCTGGGCGCGCAGCGCTCGGACACCCTCGGGGCTGCCCACGGGGAACAGGAGCGGGGCACTTGCCTGGGGCACCGGAACCCGCCCGCACCAGCGGGGCCCGCGCCGCCGCCCGCCGCAGCAGCAGCAGCGGCAGCAGCATCGCCGCCACCGCCGGCCCCGGAAGCTCCCGTCGGTGCTGCGCACCCGGGGCGGGGCGGGAAGGGGAGCGAGCAATGGCGGCGGGAGCGGTGCCCGCGGGGCTCTTCGCCGTGTACAAACCGGCGGGGGTGGCGTGGGGCCGCGTCCGCGCCGCGGTGGAGACGCGGCTGCTGAGCGGTGAGAACGGCGGGGACCGACGGCGGGAGCCCCCCCCCGGTTACCGGCTGCCCCTGACCCAGCCCTTCCCTTGCAGAGCTCAACGAGGGCCCCGGCCGTCCCCTGCCGCAGCGCGTCCGCTTCCTGCCGGCCCCGGGCCGCGACGGCGCCACCGAGCTGGTGCCCACCATGGTGCCGGTGCTGGCCCAGCACCCCCTCGGTAAGCGGGGCCTCGGCCCCCGGGGTGGGACGGGGACGACGGTGGGAGCCCCGCCGGGGCGGGCTCTGACTCGGTGTCCGTTGCAGTGCGAGGCCCGCGGTTCAGGCGGCTGAAGATGGGAGCCGGGCACCGGCTGGACGTGAAGGCGTCGGGGGTCTTCGGTGGGTCCCGTCCCGGCGCATTGCGAGGGGATGGGTGTGCATGTGGGGAGGAAGCGGCGGGCGCTCGGCCCCGGCCCCAGCCCGCTGTGCTAAGACATGGGAGAAAAGATCCCCCGGGATCCCAGCAGTGGCAAGAGATGGGGGCAACCCCTTCCCCCTGCACACGGGGTTCTGCTGGGGGGGCACCAAGCTCCTGCCACTTAACCCCACCTGAAACGGCCTCACTGAGTGTTTGTGCTGAAGGTGGAAAGCTCTGGGGCAAGGGGAGAGCCCTGCTCACAGCCTTGCAGCTTTAATGGCAGGTGGTGGGTGACTGGGGGCCTGATTGCTCACCTCAGATGTGACTTCTAAGGAGATGTGGCCCTGACCAGGGCAAGCAGAAGAGTGTGAGCCTGACAGCGCTGTGTGAATGCTCATCAGTAACTTCCCATGTGGCTGAGTAACGGGTTCCCTCCCATCTTGTGTGTTTCAGTTCTTGGCATAGGCCATGGGAACAAGCTGCTCACTGACCTGTACAACTGCCACCTGAGCAGGGTAAGTGTTGGCTCTCAGCAGCCTCAGAACATCCAAGTGCAATCACGCTTGATTCCTGCCCCAGGGCCCAACTGGGCCTTTGGACCTTCTGCTTCAAGTCTCAAACCCATCAATGCTTTTGGGAGCTTTTCGGGGTCCAGAACCTCATCCTTCACGTGAGCATCTGCACATGAGCAGAGGATGCTGCTGTAGCCTGCACCTCCTCACAGCAGCATGGCACATTATTGCTGCTCAGTAACTTGGAATATTTCTGTGACCACTTGCACTCTTTGCCTTCCTTCAAGGCTTACACTGTCGGTGGGCTGTTCGGCAAAGCCACTGATGACTTCTCGGACACAGGGAAGCTGGTGGAGAAGACGACATTTGGTAAGGAACTGAACTGATGTGGTTTTAAAACTACCAAAATCTGAGCACCAAAGAGTGCTGCCTGCAGAGCATTTAACCAGGTGAATTACAGTGCTAAAAGGTTACCTGCTTTCTAGGCATTACATTTACATGCAGCCCATGTGCAGGGTGAGGTGTTAGTTCACCTGTTTGTAAATACAGCCACAACACAAAGCCAGGATGAGTCCTGAGCACAGTGATTGCTGCTGGAGTGCCTCGGACCTGGATCTCTCCATAAATCACACTCATATAGGGGTTAGAAGCTGTCCAGTGAAACTCTTCAACACCTGATAAGAAAAACTGGAACCAAGGTCTTGAAATCAGTTAAAGAAAATGATTCCTGCCTCTGTGGTCAAGCACTGCTGCTCTGTGCATCACCGTGGTGTAGCCAGAAGTGACTCTGCTAAAGCCACCTTTGGCAGTTCCCATCAGCCTGGTTTGATCCCTGACGGCACATTCCATCCACTGGCTCTTCCCAGTTTCTGGAGGGATAATTGAGATTCCTTTCTACCTTTCTATTTGCAGATCATATCACAAGGGAGAAGCTGGAACGGATTCTTGCTGTCATTCAAGGGACGAATCATAAGGCCCTGCTGATGTAGGTATCCAGTGGGGAAATGCAGCCGACCTCATCCAGCTGCCATTTGCTGGTCCTTAAAACAAAGGAGATGATCTTGTTTGCCATAATCAAAGCCTTTAAAGGTTGGAGTGCTAGACAGGAACAGAGAGAAGAGTACAGAGTGCTCTGTACTGTGGTGGGAGGTCACAGTTAAGTGTCCCTGTTGTATCCTGAATGTCCAGCTATTTTAGGACCCATTAGCTGCATCAATGGGCACACCAATGTCGTGTGGACTTGACCCAGTACCTCCCTCTCAAGCTGTGCTACACTGTGACAGAACAGACACCATTAGGATGTGTGCAAAACCTCAACACACAGATGTAAGAATAAAACCTGCAGCTCTGCTTTATTGGGGTGGGGATATTTTTGAGTCCCATCAAATGGAAGTGCTCAGTGTCAGCGCTGCTCCCTTTTGGTTTTGTTGCAGGCATTCTAACATTGATATGAAAACACAAGAGGCCTATGAGCTGGCTGTCAGAGGCTTGATTCGCCCCATGGGGAAAAGCCCTCCCATAATCACAGCAGTCCGATGCCTCCAGTTTGCACCTCCAGAATTCCAGCTAGGTAGGTACCAAATATATATAATGGGGAAGCCTGAGTATGTGTTATAGCAAATAAGTCAGGAAAACTTGAGTTTCTTGTTCCTGCAACAAAATGACTCCTTATCCCAATGGTTCAGTGCAATGCATTAGTGTTGGGTTGGTTTGGTTTGGTTTCTAAAGCAGGGTTTGCTTTGCTGCGGCCAGTCTCCTACTCCTCACAGACTGGCTTATTTAAAAGGTACCTTTTCTTACCCACTTTGAAATACCTCAGTTTCCACATTACTCCCTTATCTATGGGTTTGTTTCTAAAACGTTCACCTTGGTGGGGGTTAGGACAGCCTGAAGTATTCCAGAAAATCCCAGTCCCCCTGTGCTGTATCTTAAACAGCCTCTTCTACCAAACCTGTTCTTCAGCACGACTGTGATTGATGTCTGCATTAACAGACAAGGTCTGAGTTTGCCAACACTTTGCCGCTCCTGAAGGAACCTCTCTTGTGTCTCTAGAAATCCACTGCTTGCACGAGACCCAGCAGTACCTCCGGAAGATGGTCCATGAGATTGGCCTGGAGCTGAAGTCCTCTGCGGTGTGCACACAAGTGCGCAGGACACGCGATGGCGTCTTCACGCTGGACGATGCTCTCCTGAGGAGCCAGTGGAGCCTGCAGAACGTACGCAGCGCAATTTGGAGCTGTGAGTCCAAGGTGCAAGCAGAGATAGAGAGAACGTTGGGCCATCAGGATGGCAGTGACCTTCCTCAGCTGGACGTGGAGACGGCCCACGCTGCGGACAGCTGAGTGCGTGCGACGCAGGGAACGTCCCCAAGCAATCTCTGGAGCACAGGAACGCAGCTGCACGCTGACAGGGTGATGGACAGCGGTAGGAAGGAGGTTAATTGCAGTTCACTTCCACCCTTCTCCTTGAGATGACTTGAAGCAGGGAGGCAGTTTGCCAGTGACAGGCTGTGTTATTTTCTTAAAGCCTTGCAAACAGTTCATTAACAGGAGCGAGCTGTGACCAGATTCCTGGTGACTTCGGGAACATGAGGTTGCTAACGGATATCAAACCCCATCCCCAAATTTGTTTAGCAGCAGGAAATAGCGCCTTGGAGAGCTGCAGTCACTTGATTGCACAGATTTGTTTGTTCCTTGCTGCGAGCAGCAGAACTTACCCACTTTGTTTTCCTTCTGTTGTCCTAAAGCATTCTCTTTCTATTAGCCCTGCTTTCAGGCATTGAAGAGCTCAACATCAGACTAAGAGAGGGATGTGCTGGAGGAAACACAGCTCACACAAAGCAATGCAAGGAAATAGTTATATCCAGAGTAGGCGTGAGTGATGGGAAAGTGCCTTGTAATAGGGGTTGGTGTGCAAGATACACAAGAAATAAAACTGAAAGTGCCCTAAATGGGAGGGTAAAGGGGAAGAGGCTGGTTCTTGGCTCTACTCATCCATGCATACACTGACTCATTAAAAAAGAGGATGCTTTCCCCCCTCCCCAGGGAACCAAGGGTGTTCAGAGGTCTCTGGTATCCTGCTCTGCAGCAGCTCCATGCAGACAGCATGTACTGCCCTTCAGTGGAGCTCTGCAAGCTCTGTAATACCACTTGTTCCCTGTTAGCTCATTACAGCTGGGTCTGACTTAGCAGAAATACTTTCTAAATGCAAGTTAAAACTGAAGTTACAATTCATACTGCACTCAGTACACTCACTGTTCTTCCAGCTGACAATCAGTGAGTATGGAGATGTATTTATAGAAAGTAGAAGATGATTTGTTCTATTCCTCTCCTGCTTTTAGACAAAGCCCAGCATTATTCCATCCTCCAGATGAGAGCCACTAAGGTGCAAGAGGAGCAGTAAGGGGAGTCCTGTGTGCGCAGTCCTGTCCTGGAGCACCCCAGGAATCATTAACTTAGACCCTGAATCTTTCAGCTCTGGGTTTCCCTGCTCTGCACAGAGCAGCAGTGGAGCGTAGGTGCCACCATGTGGCACAGGACCATGGGACTCCCCAAGGGCAGCTTGCTCTTACCTCAGCTCACTGGTTCTGTAAGCATTCATCATCTATGGATGAGCTGGGATCAGGGCACCTTCCATGGACAACTGCCTTGTGCTAAGTGAAGCTTAAACCCATCACTGCAGAAGCGTGAGCTCTGGAGCCAGGCACTTGCATAGCTACAGCTGGAAGTCTTAATCCTTGTGCTCCTACAAGGAGGGGAAGAAAACATGGACTTCTCAGTCCCCAAATACCCTTCAGCTGCTTTGGTAATGGAGAATACTTCATCCCCCATGGCTTACACCTAACAGTAACAGAAGGAATTTGTGTACACACATCCCATTGCAAAAAAAACACTTCCAGTTGGGTGTGCCACTGCCAGGCCAATATTTGGGTTGGAACACTCCAGGCT